TCATTCTGCAGATTGGATCTACAGTGGTACTGAATTTCTGAAGAGCAGAATTTATTGAATACCACTTTTTTTCCCCCCAGATATCTCTTTCCAGTGACATTATATGTGTTTTCATGCAACAATTTCAGTCAATTCAGCCATGGAGTAGACCACAGAAAAACACTTAATTATGAAAGAAACTGAATATACATTTGTATTTTATACTGACAAATTCTCAAGAAAGTACCATGGGCTGCATAGGAATGCAAGAGAGAAGGTACAGGGTTTCTTCTGGCTCTGACATGATCTACTGTCATCAGTGAACAATTTATGCTTCCTCAGTTTCCCCCAATGATAGATGTTACCTGAGGGTTGCTTATGAGCTACTTTTTGCCTAAAAGGTGCAATCAAGAGGAAGGAGTCATCATTATCTTTCTAATTAAGCTGGTCCATCTTCTGCAGGAATCATCAGACCTTGCAGTTATTTAGCTCAAGCGCAGCTTCACCTGAGCAAATGTTGTGGATGTGTGTAAAGAAAAGAGCAGCATAAGTGGAAGCATAAGCTTCCTATAAATGTATTTTAGGGACACATAAGTCTGTCTGCAAGGACAAAGCATGAACCTCAACAAGAGAAGCAGTTTAATGGAATTCTCCATCCAAAGAGCCAGTAAACCTAATTATGATTTACTGTCCATCAGGGCCAGTCTGTCCAAAGCTCTCAAATGTTTTCAGTGCCCATGACAGAGCTCTGTCTCAATCACAATGTAGGGCTTTAGAAATCCACCAAAGAAAATAGGCACTTCTCCTGTTGCTTAGATGGCTAAACTGGATTTTAAAACAGTTCAGTTCTATTAACTTTATTAAATGCGAGCAACGACCTTCTGGGACAGGAAAATTTTTGTAGTTGTTGCTGCTGTTTTTAAAGAAAGCTGAAGTAAAGAAATAGCTGAAAGCAGGTATTTTCAGATTCTAGTATCCAGATTCCTGAGACATTGAGCAGCTTGATTTCTCAAAGAGTAGATACTCCATCCCTGCAAGCAAAGATATGAGGATTTAGAGCATTGGCATTTTATAGCTATCACAAATTCCTTTCGGGGATGTGTAACGTACAAACACCTCACCTCCTGAGAGCTACTGAAAGCAACTTACACAAGTGAATTATATGAGACAGAAAACTTAAGTTCTCTGAGGACAAAGGTTATTGTGAAAAATCCTAAAGCAAAGTGATTTTACTTTGATCAGTGTTCAGTTGTCCATCTCTGATCAGACAGTTGTGAAGAAACAAAACCCAAACTTATCCCCAGTCAAGTCACAGAAGTGATTTTCAAGAATTCTTATGCCTTGCATCCCTTAAATGGGTAACTTCTAGAAAAAGGACTTTTGCCACTATTTTCCACACACATATGCATTGCAGTTCATGTGAAATTTAGGAGTGGGGCATTTTTCCAATGAAAAGTTCTTGTTCATAAAATGCAATAGGATTACTCCAGAAGTTTGATGTCTGCTTGCTTTTTGCAAGGTTCACTTGGAATAGTGTTCCTGAATTTCCCTTTACCTCGCAGACCAAACTTGACTGGAGCCATGGGTCAAGCCAACCACTAGAAAAAGATCTGTAGTCTGTTAAGCAGCTATTTTAAAAATGCTTACAAATAGATGAGATTTCAAAGAACCACTAAGATAGCAAAAAGATTTCTAGAGAGCCTCTAAATATCTTTCATTCCAACATGGTCTTGCCAATACCTCTGTCATTTGTTTCACATTTGTTTAAGCTGATCTTGAAGACTTACCATAATGGAAACATTAATAGACCAGCCAGTCTGTCCCAGTGCTATTCTTAGTGCTTAAGGAAGTTTTTCTACTATCTGAGTCTTTTCTCCTGCAATTTAAGTGTATTAAATCTTTCTTCTTTTCCTTGGGAAAAGAGACATGGTTACTTTTTCCTCTTGCAGCAGGTTTTTATGTGAAGTTCCATTTTTTTTTTTTTTCATTCTTGGTATAGTAGTTCACACTTGCCCCTATTGATTATCATCCTGAGTTGTCTTTTCAAGTAACTCTTTAGTGAAGATTGCTTAAATTCTGATCATGCTCTCAGTTTACATACTATATGTCCCTGGTTAGTGTCATCTCATAGTGACACTAATGAGAATACCAAATAGTCTCAGACTCCTGTGGTGCCCCACTCTATAGATCCTTCCATGTTTTACTCTCTGAGTACAGTGTTCATGCAGTTTGGAGCAACCTTGCAATATACATAATTTCCTTTTCCTCTTCGGTTGTCCTTAATGATAAACATAACTTTGAACTTTTATCCGTGTTTTATAGAATCAGAAAGTTAGTTCAAAGGGAGCCATTTTATACACTGAGGTGCTGGACCAGGCTGTATTCTGGTAACATCTGGAGATCACAGAGATTTTGTGCCTGACTTTAAAGGTATTGATCCTACGTATATGTTTTGGGGTTTCTTCATAGATAGAATGCCTTGCAGAAGTAGTTTCTGCAGGTAGATTAGCTCTTTTGTTAAGGAAAAAAATATTGAAATATGTTGATTCGTATAAACAGGATCTATTTTGATGAAATTAGGATAGAAAATAACGGAATGGTGAATATTTCACTAAGAATAAACATCTAGGTAGAATTTAGAGTGATGCTAGAAACTAATTTTTTAGGATTTTTATTTCATGTATGTATTAAGTCAAGAAAATGTGTGTGATTGGAGTTTTTGGGTTTGCTGGTTTATTTCACTTTATGAGAAAAATTTAAGGTGCCTTTTATTTTCATTTGAGTTGGTAAAAGAGAAAAGCAGAATTGTGTCATTTGCTACAAAATGGAAAGGCCAGCTTTTCCTAGCTCTGCCTTTCATTGTCTGCCTATCTTATGGATTCCAGGAAGCTGCAGTTTTTGCATCATGTATCACTACAACAAGACAATTATTACTTTAATCAAAGGAAACAAGCCTTTATACTGTACAAGCTACTCTCTGGACTTTGATGCAGACATGAACCAGGCTAGTTCCAGTTTTTATCAGACTGTCCCCTTCATGCCTTAAGGTGGAAGCCACCAACAAAACTATTATAATCTCTGGAAAGAAAAATGAAAAGTACATGAGATATATCTATATACATATATAAACAGCACTATTATATTATAGAGAATAACAATTCACCTTTTATAATGTAACCAGAGGATCAGAGCATCAGCACTAACCAGCTTTAAGACACACTTCTCTGGGCAACATGTAATTGAATGGAGAAAATTAGCACCACAAGATCAAACCTAAATTTAATAAGGATGGAATACTGCATGGGAGAAAGGTCCAGCAAAGGCTATCCAACACAGTGGATAGCCAAGTTCCAACAAGTTCCTGCTCAGAAAGTCCTTAATCTGTTGATGACTGGACAGGTGTACTGAAGGAAGAGGCCTTGTTTCTCCCATTCTTTCTCACAACATTGGCTGCTACCAGAGAGGGGGAACAGGCTGGCTGAATCTTTGGGTTTTTCCCCAGTTCAGCTGGTTTTCTGTTCTAAGTAGTGCCAGCCTGCATCATCTAAATAATACTAAATGATCCAGGTAACCAGGCTCACAGTACATTACAGTCAGTGACCTTTTAGATGCAGAAATGTTCTGAGTTATTTAAAGTGTTAGATGTAAATTATGATGCAGTCTTTCCTTTGAGCCTTTGTATAATATAAATCCAATGCCCTCGTCCCAGGTGCCTGTGGCTTCCCACTGCAGTACTTGGCTCAAGCTGAAAGGCGGTGTAAGGCAGATGGGAAGGGAAATGGGAGAGGGGAGGTAAAGTGGCTGGGGTAGAACTGTGTGGGGCCATAGGCTTTCAGCTTTCTAGAATAACTACTCTCAAACAAAAGCATCTTTTAGTTGGTTTTCAGATTTAAGCCAGAGATAAGCAGGAAGTATTAATGATACCAATTACTCTTATTGACTCCCTGCATATTTTTTCTGTTCTATGCTTTAAAAATGCTAACTGAATCTTTAGACAGAAGAGATTGCAGCAGCAGCTCTTCATTTCCAAATTAGAGACTCTGAGATAAGCTGAATGGATCTGAAATATATTTTAAAAAATAAAGGTTGTTAACTAACTGTCTTTTCATTCCTATTTCAGAGCAGAAGGAAGGGCTGGTGCATGTGCTATGGGTGTCACTTGAAAGAAGTCTTTAGATAAATCCTGCTGAAGGCTGGGCAGTTGTGGTTTTTGTTGCACTCAGGTGTTAACTGGTGCATCTCGCAACCTGAATCGGGCCCTTGTATTCATAGCAGCCACTGGAGAAAGAGGCAGCAGTCTGGTAGGCTACTGTATGCACAGTCTGTGCTGGTTTCAAGAAAATCATAGTGCATTCTCTTTTTGTTGTCTCTGCTCAAAGGTTGCAGAAATAGATAGCCACTGATATAGCCAAAATGCCTCATTTTGGCAAAGCCTAGATAAATTCTTGAGGGGTTTTATTTCCCCATACAGAAGGACTATGGAGGTTCCTAAGCTATTTGCCCAGAACTGCTACTGCCAGCCTTGAAATTGTTATTAGTGCTCCAGCCACCATTACTCTTGAGCTTGTAACCAAGAACATGAAGGAGATTGGGCCTGACAGGGCAGCTCTCACTCTCTTGCTGTGCTACAGTGTGAGAACACCAGGCTGAGCATGTCAGGGCTTCGACACTCCACTGCAGCAGGTTGTTTTCTTGGCCTGAACAATTTTAGCCCTTCTGCTAAAAGCCCTTCTGACTTTTAGCTAAGAAGCAGATTTCATTGTGCAGCTAAAACTAATTGACAAATTTTAGACATCTTAATCTTGAGAACAGCCCAAATCATATACATCTTTAATTTTAAATCCTCAAGATATGCTAACTGGGAAGCATTGAGGAAACTTAGTTAGTCTACCTGCCTCTTTCTATTGATCCAGGTTACTATGTACTTTTCTTGTCCACCAACACCTAGATTTTAGGGCAGATGTTCATATGCAGTCATCATCAAAAGCATGTGCATTGGATGCTATTGAAGCCTCTAAGTCTCTGCATTGATGTCTTTTATTTCAGGATGCTTGGGGGAAAGAAGAAATCTTCACACAGTTAAAAATGTCATTTGCTTTCTCTTTTCCATGTAGCTCTTCTCTTTCACTCAGACAAGTAACTGCCAGGAAATCTGTTAATGGTAAAATGATTTTGAGACATGGTGCTCTGTTTTTGAGAACATTATCTTGGATTAAAAACTTTTTCACTCAGTATACTGAACCCAGTCACAATTTCACTATCCCTTAGCCCGAGTAATGACTTAAAGTTTTTAATTACAGAGCAAGAGGACTGTGTGTGGTCCCTGGGGCCTGAGCTAAGAGAGTGCTAAGAAACACTCCTGTAATACTTTAACAGGCATGAGAGCTCCTGCCTGCTGAGACAGCTCTCGTGCCTCTGTGGAAATGTGCAGGATCACTGCTTTACCCATGTCTTGGGTCAGTCCTCCCCAGCCAACCCTCCCTTGGCTTCACCTCCCTGAGCTTTGCAAGTCATGGCTTGGACCTCAGCCCCAGCCCTCATTACACATCTTACCTGTGCAAAAGCTTTTGCCTCCCCATTTTAGGTGCAGAGCATCCTTTCTACAGGGAAAAAAAAAATTGAGCAGAATTGAATCTATGTTCTCATCATGGATAGCATTATTCCATGCCTTTTGCTGCTTTTTTTCAGATCGTTCTCTTTTTCTTCTTGATTTGCAGTGCATTTCAAATTCATTGAGATAGGGAAAAGTGTGATTGCTCTTCCACTGTTTCAAGGAGTGAATATTTGGCCGCTCCATTTGCTAAAATAGAGAGTGGTAAAGACACTCTGGGTGCCTCATCTAATTCCAGATAAGCCTTGGGCTCTCGATACACAGCACAAGAATCTAATTATTGAAGTAATTATTATTGCCTTCTCTGCTACACTGCATTCTTTCAAAACCTTTGGAGTCACAGTGCTGGACACTGCTGGCAGTGGTGGGACATAATGGCAGTCTGTCAGCTTTGAAATAATTTGACTGTACTTACCTGGAATGAGTTACTTATTTAAAATCTCACTTGTCTATTTTTTGACCCTGAAAAGAATATGTGACAGGGGAAGTATTCCTTTCTTCACTCAGTGCATTCTAATTTCTATGGCTGCATTTCTGAAAAGGTGGTGCCTTTTCTTCACCACCTCTGAAAAATCTGATAATAGCTAATGCTAAGGTTGGACTACTCAGGACTAATGAGACCTACTAGTTTTTCTTCTTTTGTGTCAGTCCTTGTAGGAGTGGGAAATGGAAACTATTCAACCAATAATCATGCACAACTATTTTGCAATGATGGACCTTAAAGAGAGAAAAATCATTCTCTCTTTTTTTGCTATCATGTGCCTGTCAATTTTAAAGTGAGGATGTAAAAGTGAAGTGAGGATGTAAAAGTAAAATAAGTATTGGCCAGAGTATAAAAATTTTTCATTCAGATGTTATTTTTAGGACTTTAAATTCCAGTTTGACTGAGTACTCGTGCAGTCCTTTGAATTTATAGCATGCCATTCTATTTAGCAAGTGCACATTTGGCTCCTGAAAGGTTTTAAATTATGTGTGGGTTGTTATACCTCTGTGTTTATATTTATGAATCTAATGTATAAAAAAAGTCTTCAGTTTATGCATTTGAAAGGAACTAATAGTCTAATGGGATTCCAGTTATGAATACTTGCATTTGGGGAGCATGTCTTTCCCCTGTGAAAGGCAAGCCTAGCAATGCAGAGATTAAGATTTTTTTTTTTAAGGTATGTATTCTAGCTTCTCTCTATAAAAATAGTTTTAATCATTTGGTAATCATCTTACTCTAGGCTAGTAGCAATTATCATCACTGGCTCTTTTTCTCCCTTTGCATTTGTCTATAGGTGATGTTTGAATATAGCACCATAAACAGCTTTGCAGGAGCATACTTGTGCTTGATTTCTTTGACTAAATCCAAATTGAAATTACTTTAATGTATACAGCTGTAAACACTGCTTTAAGTTTTAGAATGGGCACAATGTATAAGAAGGATGGTAGGGAGTATTTAAACTAATAGAGGCTTATTTACTTTGTATTGTGTAGAGTCTGGTCACTGTTATCAAATATTTGCATTAGTTGCATCGTGTGAAACGTGCCTTTTGTAGCTGCCTATCACTTTTCTGTAAAAGTATATAATTTAAAATGGGACCTTGCACATTTTTATTCACAAGTGATGAAAACATATATTGATCCTTGATTTGTGCAAAATTGATTGTGATGGAGATAATCAGAATTTTCTGGAGGAGGATTTTCAAAGCTGCAGTCAACAGCTTGGCACTCATGGCAGCTGGACCCACTGATGCCTTGTTCTGCTTCTGTTAAGTTTCCCCCAGACAGTCTTTGCTTTCCACATTTTAAATGGGGCCTTCAACCATATAGATTTAATTTGAAAAAAAAAAAAACAACAAAAAAACCCCTCAAATTTATAAGAAAACAGCATGATCTGTGTGTAGTAAAACAATGCAGTAAGCCTGTGTTTAAGGCAAATGCTATTCACATTTACTGGTGGGACTGAGGACCTTTCACTGAAAGCAAACAGGTTAAACTTTCAACTTAAAATTAATTGTCAGCTTCTCTTAGTGTTCTTTCTGAGCTTATATGACTTTTGTTTCACTCCTAATATATTTGCATTTTGACAAGTCACTCACTGTGTTTGCACTGTGGCAAAGTAGCTATCACAGCAACTCAAATTTACAGGTTGGAAGAACTATGCTAGTTAGGGACACTGCTTTATTTGCTTTGCCTTCTTCTAGGATTAGTTCTGCTCTGTGGATTAGCCAGTGCTCACATAAAAGTAGTGATACACCGCAGAGTCAGAGCAGGTATGAGAAATTTCTCTTACTTCCCTCCTTTAAAGGACAGAAATACTTTAATTTCCCCTTTTCTTTTCCTAATGAAACCCAAGCTAATTTCATGAAACATTAAAACAGAGAAAGATTCTGAGGTTATGAACAACTGTGTTGCAGCAGGTGTCTTCACTGTACCTTAATTATTTTTCTTTTTTTTTGTTAAAGTGTGTTGTTTCTTTGCAGTTTTGCTGACAAAAAATATGCAATTTGTTTTTTAAAACATTGAATAGTTTTCATTCCTGCTGCTTTGTGTTCATCACCCATTGGACAACATGATCTGTAGACTAGACCAGGGAGGCTTTGTGGTTCTCTGAACCCTACCCCTAACCCTAATGGTGGCTGAGGCTTAGGTACCCAGCACCATGAGTGGCCCAACTGAGAAAGGTGTGGAGGGAGCAATGTTGGTGCTGTGCTCCCTTTCACATGCCTTTTGCAGCCCCAGAAAGCGCCTCTGGATCTGTAAGCTTCGTGGCTCTCTGAAGCCTAACCGTGGAGACTGAAAACTCACACATCTGTATAGTCCTGAACCTTGCAATAAGACCTCTGAACTTTGTTTCAAGAACCTCTCAATGTTTCTGTTACTGATGAACGTGCTAAATATACACTGGTTTATAGATCAAATGACAGAGATATTTCATCACCAGTATCTGAAGCATCTAACGTGTTATGGAATAACTTATTGGTTTAAAACTCAAGTACACATTACTCGAAGTAACCACAGATATTTTGAAGAATATTTTATTGTTGTAGGCCTAGTATATTCCTCCAGGTTTGTCTAATGGTCCTACATCTAAAATTCACCATGATCTTGAAGAATTTGGTAGTCTCAATGGAGTGTGAAAGTAGAGATAGTAAAAACGATTGCTCATTCTCTGGGTGTGCTTGTATAAATGCAGTTTTAGTTTCTGTGATACGAAATATAACAGATGTAGTAGTGTGCTTAGGATGTGTTTTGCTTAAATTAGGTGACTGGTTTGGGGGGGGAGGGTTGTTGGCTTTTCTGGTTTTGTTTTTTCTTTTCATAACTATTTAAGCCCCAGAACATTAACTGGCTTTTTTCACCATCTGGGCAGATGGGAGCTCTGCTTAGTTGGGTCCTATGAATATTGGCATTTCTGATAGTCAACTGCTTGCTGGGAAGGGTCCTACAGGAACTTGGTGATTAAACATCCAACTCTAATCATATCGAGGAGGGAAGGTTAGAGCAAATGGAAACCACCTGCACATTTTCTTCCTATCTCCAGAATACTCTGGAAAAGCAGACCTAAAGGCTTGCTTTAAATTGGCTTGTGAGTTCGACTCTAGGTAATTGCTCCATTGATTGTAAAATACAAGGAAGCCTCTTGAATGGATTGAAAATGTAAATGAATGCAGACAATTACTGCAAACAGAAATGCTACTCAAAATCCTGACACGTGGGTCATTTTCATGGTTCCCGTTCCTCATACCTGACTTTCAAACAGTCCAAGGCTGCCTGTTTCCACTGCATTTCTGGGGAGATTTGGAAGCTGTTGGAGTGGGTTGGAGCAAGGGTCTGGCCCTGGGCATTAGTAGAGGACATCAAAGCACTTCAATACTTTGGGTTTCTAAGCAAGCTTATATCAGCTACGTGGTGCAGTTATAGTGATGCCTTAAGGTCCTTTTGGTTTTTTGATTTTTCTAATTTTATAAGTTTTATAAGTAGTTATGTAGAAAGTGTAGATTTTAGAAGCAGCAGCACTTATTCCTTTCCCCTTACCCTTAGCACAGTAACTACACACATTCCCCAACCCTCTCACCCCAATTTCCCATATCAATTCTCCTGAATTCCACTAGAATATTTAGACTTCTCTTCAAGGTAGGCCTCTTCTGTTTAAGAACACTTGTACTCTAACCTGAACCGCAAGATGCAGTCAAGAGCTGGGTAACCATGTGCCCTTTGTGCTCCAAGGAAGACCAAGTGATGAAGTAGGTGGTCTCAGAAAGACCTCAGCCCCAATTCCCCAGGGGCGGATCAGGGTGGACCAGGGCAAAAGCCAGAGGGTGGAAAAACCTGGGATTGGTTGGACAATATTATAAAATTGTAACATCTGAGACAGAATGGGTATGTGTCTTGTAACCCCTATGCCTGAGAGGCACGATTAAATCCTTTCCTTACCTTACCTCCAAAACTAAGTTGCCTCTGAGTTTCCTTCTCCCTGAGTTTTCTTTTAGGCATCAATAGAGAGAGTATAGAGAAATACAGAAATACCTTTGGTCAGGAAAGATGGTTCACATGGGTCCCAGTATTCACTTGACCCTTGTGTGTGACACTTAAAGCTTAATGGCATTAAAATAAATCACTTGCTTTACTGAGCTGAGACATAAACAAACACATGAAAAGATTCTGAATTAGAGAAAGTGCTGATTTTGCAAAGACTTTCGTCCCACTTACAGTGTTTAAAAGAGAATGCAAAATGTAAAGGATTTCTAATATCAACTTTTTAAATAGTCTCTGCATAACCATGTAACCATGTACCTAGTTTTAAAGAAAGCACAAATCAAATAAACTATATTAAAATATACACAATACATCTGAACATAAACAGACATCTAATACAGGTATTATAACCCTTCTAAATTTTTATACCCTATGTAGGGAATCCCCTAAATACGGTCTGTGATTCACTTAACCAAGGTCATCACAGACCTAAGATAGAAAATATGAAAATAATTCAAGAGTCCATGTTACTTTGGAAAAAAGAAGTCACGCCTCACCAGTCCAGCAAGGCTTTTTTAGAGGAGTTTTAACCATTTTTGTAGCTGGATCTGGTCAATAAAGTACAGCTGAGTCTTCAAAAGCTTCTGGATCAAAGACCTTTAGAGGAAGAAGGTACTGTGAGATGAGAGTCAATCTGCTGGAGGGTAGCAGGGCTCTGCAGAGGGACCTGGACAAGCTGGAGAGATGGGCTGAATCCAATGGTATGAAGTTCAGCAAGACCAAGTGCCAGGTCCTGCACTTTGGCCACAACAACCCCCTGCAGCACTACAGGTTGGGCACAGAGTGGCTGGACAGCAGCCAGGCAGAAAGGGACCTGAGAGTACTGATTGGTAGCCCACTGAACGTGAGCCAGCAGTGTGCCCAGGTGGCCAAGAAGACCAATGGCTTCCTGGCCTGGATAAGGAATAGTGTGGCCAGCAGGACCAGGGCAGTGATTGTCCCTCTGTACTTGGCACTGGTGAGGCCACACCTCGAGTACTGTGTCCAGTTCTGGGCCACTCAGTTTAGGAAGGATGTTGAGATGCTGAAGCAACAAGGCTGGTGACAGGTCTGGAGCACAAGTGCTATGAGGAACAGCTGAGGGAGCTGGGATTGTTTAGCCTGGAGAGGAGGAAGCTCAGGGGAGACCTCATCACTCTCTACAACTACCTGAGGTTGTAGCCAGGTGAGGGTTGGTGTCTTCTTGCAGGCAACTAGTGACAGAACAGTCTTAAGCTGTGCCAGAGAAGGTTTAGGTTGAACATTAGCAAGAAGTTCTTCACGGAAGGGGTGATCAGGCCTTTGAACGGGCTATCCAGGGAGGTGGTGGAGTCACCGTCCCTGGAGGTGTTTAAGAAAAGACTGGATGTGGCACTTAGTGCCATGGTCTGGTTGATAAGGTGGTGTGAGGTCATAGATTGGACTCGATGATCTCAGAGGTCTTTTTCAGCCTGGTTGATTCTGTGAGAAGTATTTTCCTTCTTCAGAGTAATACCCGATTAAAAGAAGGTAGAAATAAGTTGCCGGCCTTGATAATAGAGAAAGGCTTTAGGCTGCCCAGCCACCTTTTTTTCTTTTTGGCACTTTGGATGTTCAGAAAACTGGATGTTAGCTGCAAAGGCAGTGAACATCAAGAATAGCAAGTTGACAACATTTTCTGATGACTACTTCAAATATTTCATGTCAATACTGAAGCTGACCCTGAAAATGTGACAGTAATCTCATAGCAGAAAATGCCTAAACAATGCAACAGCCAGTGACATTTTTGTGTCAATAAAAGCAGAGTGATGCAGTATAGGAGCTATGCATACACAGCAACAGGATCCATGTTATATTCAAAGAGAATGTTCTGAGAATCTCTGTGGATAATTGTCTGAAATTGTCAAGTCAATACCCAGAGATGGTAAAAAGCACAGTTTCATACAGCTGGGGAAGGAAGAAAGGGAGAAAAAAACAGAAAGCATCCATAGGTATGCCACACTCACATCTTGAGTCCATTCACATGCTGGTGTTTGCAGGCAGTATTGAGCTTTTCATCTCAGGTACGGTGAAATGCAATTAAAAAAGGGAGAGGAGACACCAGAAGCCTCTATCCTCAGAGATATTGACTAGTTTCTGCATGAGGAGGGCTATTCAGCTTGGGAAAAAGCTACCGAGTCAGGTGTGATAAAGGTGTATTAAGCCATTAATGGTATGAAGGTGAATGAACAAAGAGAGGGTGCTACTACTACAGCTCCTAAAGTAAGAACTGTAGTGTGCCCACACAAAATGCTCAGGCGTACCATGCATCGCCACAGGGAGCTGTGGGCAGAGGTGTAAATAGATTCAAAAATGGGATTTGTAGGCCTGTGAAGAATCTCTCCATCCCAGGTAGTAAGCCTGCAAGTGGGTCATGTTTGGGCAGCACCAGCTAGGGAGACTTGCCCTTTTCTCTTTTTTAAAAGAAAGAGCCTTGCTGTTTGAAGACAGAGGTTGGATGAGTGGAAGAAGAACTTCCAGTGCCTTTTACTGTTGAAGCTTTATTTGGGGGCTTTGTGTGTTTTTTTCCAGTCAAGGGCTGTTTAGGATATTATTTTAGAGTTTAGTCAACTGTGCTCTATGGAGTAGAACTGCTTCCTTCCCTGAGACCTCATTTCACAGGATTTCATGCGAGTTCAAATTGGATCCCCAGCTGTCCCTGGTCCTCTGCTGCAATAAGTGAAAGGTTAATGCATTGCAAAAGTAACTGTGATAATTCTGAGCTGTAATTTAGCCTGTTTAGTGTATCCAGAGGATAAATTCTCAAATGCATTAAGCAAAACAAGAAATAATGCACTCTTCATATTGTCTCCCTTACACTGCAGTCCCATTTAATTAGCTACTGAAACAACTCACTGAAAGCTTTCCCTCTGTCTTGGTGTTTGAATCATGAATTTTAAAGACTTTTGAAAGAGTGACTCAGGAGGTGAAACAGCAGGGCTTCTGATGTTATTTATAAGCTCTGTACTGGAAACTACTTCAGTGTCTGTAGCTATGAAACTCAAGCAACGTAGCCTGTAATTTCATCATTTGAGACTAAGTGACAGGAGAACTAATGCTGTCAGCGCCCCACTAAACAGCATTAGTATTCTCCATTGCCTCTACTTATTCAAAAAATGGATAATGAAATAATTGGCATTAAAGCCAGCTGTCAGCTACAGGTTATCCCACAAAAGAAGAGGTTAATATGAGCACCAAAATACATGCAATAGATGCCTGCAGTAATTGGGTTTTCATTACAGTAACAGTTCTGCAGACTGCAGTTCAGTGAGGGCAGCACAAAACATCTATGCAACACCTAGCACAAGCAGCCAAACACTCCACGGGGCTTGCAGCAACAGGAATGCTGTGGCATGGATAGAGCCTTCCAGCCAGCCCATCCTAAACACAAATACTACTGGACTAGGTTTAGTCCCTGACCACTTGGGATTTATGACTTTGCTGGGTTTTAGAAAAATACGAAATGAAAATGAAAAATACGAAATGAAAATAAAAAATAGAATAAGAAATTGTGTTCCTGATCCTATCATTCGTCTGTTTTTCCTTTGGTAGGTCTTTGACATATATCCCTTGAAGGAAAAGTCATGTGTCTTCCCATGTCTGCCCTGAAGTTTTGACCTTCATCAGACCTTGTCAAAATGTGTGGGACAGCAATGCTCCAGTTATGAGAAGGGACAGGCTATTGATTCTGTTACTGTATTGATATATATGTACCCCCATACTGTTGTTTCATAGGGAGTGTAGGAACACAAAGCTGAGTTAGCACTCTGCTGTGTGGAGGAGAATGCTCTTAACTTCACTATTTATGCTTCCCTGGTATACATAGCAGTTTTTAACTGTATGGAAGATTGTGGTATGTCCCTTTGCATCTTTTTTTGCTATTTCTAAGTACTTGATGTAAAGGAAAAGGACATATGTATTTCATCAGGTCTTGCTTTATTTTTAAAAGCATTGTAGTTTTTTAGTACATTCCTGAATAGTTTCATTAACATTAAAAAGGTCTGAGATTGGAATAAACTTGATAATGAAATAAAAAGAGTTTTTCTTGTTTCTTAAAGAAAAAACAGGAAACAAAAGCAATCTTTAATAGATAGGAAAAAAAGGAATCTGTCTTTTATAGCCAGGAAAATCTCTGCAGAAATAAAAATAAGGTTTCAGATCAGGCATTTGTGTTGACATCTTACTACAAGCAGTACCTTTGATAGTGCACAGGTTTGTCTTGACAGAGAGATGAAACTCGAACACAGACATGCTTGGAAGATGCAAGAGAGGCACATGTGTTATCTCACAACACCTTTCTTTTATTTTTGTAAACTTTTGGAGACATTGAGCAAAATATCCCTTGTTAAGGCATTTCCAGCTTTGCTGTTAGTAGGTAGTACAGCTTGCTCAATGGGGTACTGGCCTCAGCTCAGATGTCTGGCATCTATTCCTTTTTCAGCTGCTGTGAGAAAATGAATGTGTCATTTCATCTCTGCATGCCTCTTTCATCCTTCAGTCCCTCTTGTCTGTTTAGAGTGTATGTGCTTCTGAGCTGGAGTCGTTTCTATTTGGAGAGGTAGATATACTGTGCAAAATAGTGTCAGGTCCTCTAGGGACTACTGTAAAAGGAAACCTGGAAAAGTTATATGCTTTTTTATACATCATTAGCATATTCACTGTATATGGCAACATACATGTAGAGGTCAGTATCCCAAAGATCTAACTAATACTGAATGCCCAAGAGAGGTTATACAAACAGTGGGGATTTTCCCATTGTATCTGAAAGATTCATGGAATAGTTGAAATTCAACTTTACTTGAAGCAAAGACAATTGGGAAGCTATTGATAGGGCTCTATGGGAAACATGTACTGACTTCAAGACTCACATTTGGCTTCCTTTGGCAATTCAATGCTATTTGGGATATAAAAAGAAGAGAAATGAAATGTAGAGAGAAGTGTAATGCAAAACATTTTAAGCTGAAAAGTTATTCTGGAGTTACTGCATGATTTCCCCCTTGAACATATTTGTGTTTTATGGAAGCTGTCTTTGTAATCATCCTGATAATCAGTAACTGGTTTTCCAGTCAGTGTTTTCACAAATGACAATAATTTAAATGCTTAAATATCTGGCACTAGAGTTCTGTTCTAATGCTGACTTATCACAGCAGTGCTTATGAAGGCAGTAGCACCTGATGGAGATTGACAAGAAGCAGTGGTCGTCATTGACCTGCTCATCATTCATTTTGTAGGTCATTTAATCTTTTACCTCAATAGTAGCATTTCATCTTCTTAAGGTGGCAAGAAAAAGTTGAGTCAAACAGTTTATTAACGTGTGAAGAATTGGTGTTTAATGTGAATGTGTTGTAAGGCAAGTCAGTATCCTCATCATCGGCTAATTAATATTCACATTCTGCATTTCATGCTGAGACTAGAAGCTAGAAGGAATGGACTGTTTTTCAGAATTCCTACGTGTGTGTGTGTGTGTATTTTCATCCTGATACTCTTATGCAGCTGATTACTAAAAATATATTGTCAGTATCCATTACCAAAGCAGCTGCTTTTACCTGCCTTATGCATCAAACCATGTATGAAATAGTTGGTTATACAGAGACTCATGAAGTGAGTTCAAGAGACGAATGAACTTGAGTCGAAGATTTTGTTTATGCTGTGTCGGTTCTAAGAGATGTCTGAAAGAGCCAAGGAAATGGCACATGGGTTAGAATTCCACAGAACGGTTGAGGTTGGCAGGCAGCCCTTGAGCTCTCTGGGCAATGTGTCCCAGTGTTTGACCCTAGGGGATCACCAGTGGCACTAAATAGCTGCCGATAGGTGAAAGTACTGCACTAAACTAGGTAACTAAACTGTACTAAAGAGGGGTTTCTGCTACCTTGTAATGGTACTGTGAATTATCCATGTATTATTTCATTGAAGCTGTAAATTATTAATTATTTTCAGTTTCTAATTTCCATCATTTTCGATGCATTCAATTAATAAGTACGGCATTTTTGGCAGCAGTTTTTAACATTCCCTATTTTCATGCCACAACACCTACTACATCCAGCTAGAAGCAGTATCTCACTGATTTCCTTCTTGGCCAGCATTGTTCCTCATGTGATTTGCATCACTGTAAATGTGAACAGACCGAAAAAGGACAATTAAAGAGGGTTGTTTGGCAAACATCTCTTTTTTTCTTTATGGGTGCTCTGCAAACAGGAAAAAAGAAAATTGCATAAAATGTGACAGTGTAGCACTGAGCCCGTCTCTTTCTTTTTCTGTTTGAGTGTTGGTTCCACCTGAAAATCAGAATTAGATATGCAGTACATACCTACATAACACGTCCCAGCTGAGGACTTTTAAGTACTTAATTAAAGCTTTCAGATATTTGTATGGCTACATGCTGTCTCCTTTCTAGGTGGCTAGCATGGACATGGGTGAATAATTGATAGGTCTATGAACCACGGATACTCATCTGTTTTACTTGACAGCTAGCTTATATAGCTGGCAAAAATAAGCCCCCATTTGTTACTGAATGTTGTTCTTGAGAGAAATGTTACATAATAACAACAACAAAAAACGCATAACAAACCGATCAATTTTAGGTGAAATAACAAAATAGGTAGCAAGTGAAGTTTTAAAGATTGTATCTAGGGGAATTTTCCCAGATTCTTTCAAGTTTCCAGACATGGCATGTTTGACTTTCAGGCAGATTTCCTTTGAGAAGGCTTAATAATTCAGTGGCTATCAAGGATATGTTACAGTCAGCCAGCTGATGTTCTTTGAAACCTCACTGTTTGAAGCACTGTGCCCCCACCTTCTGGGGGTGGCCGATGTGCTCATAGCATTGCTTCTTCTGTTAGACTTGAAGAAAAGGGGCTGTAGGTTCCCATGGACTTTATTGAGGTAACCCAACATGACTGCAGTCCGAAGAGCCCCACAGAACTTCCCTCTTCACAATCATCTGCAAGGGTTGACCTCAGTCCTGGATACATTAACTGATGAAAGGGCACTATTCAGTATCTTGCTGCAGCCTGGTGACCTCTGGACTCATAAATGTCTCCAGGCAGCTAACATCAATGTGGAGGAGTCTCAGGTTTGAAGCAGCAGGAGACATGAAAATTGCTTGCAGTCATTTCTGTGCCCCAGGGTGTTTCATGTCTAGAGGCTTGCATGAGGCCCTCGGCTGTGAACTGTTCTTGTGCTCAAAACCAAGAACATGGATTTTCATTTTTGTTTCTAATTACATAGGATAAAACTGCTTTCTCAGGGTCTTTTACTTAGTCTCACAAGACGTTTACAGGTCACTGATTTCAATGCTAGCCCATGACATGAAAGAGATAGCATGGCCAGTTTGAGAACCTTTCTGTCTACTCACACATTCTGATGTGTCACAGTAATTTCTTGATGTCAAAGTCTATAATTTTCTGATTTATAAAATCAATTTAGAGAAAAAAAAATCTTTTTCAGCATTTCAGGGGATTAAACATGACAAAGCAAAGAGTGTTTGTTCCTGTTCCTTTCACAGGGATAGAGCACTACTCTGTAAATCCATAGTTACTGTGATGAGTAAAATTTGTCCTACGACAAATTCCAGGCAACCAGTTTTTGTCTTCTGTCTTACAGAAATTTTCAAAAACTGTAATGAGTTTGCCTCAGTGGCTTAATTTGTAATGTGTCTTTATTGCAGAAGTCTGTCGGTTAAAGAATTTATCATTGTTCAATCCTTTTATGGTTGCATATATTTAAAAGGATTTAGAATCAAATTTTAAAAGTGAATATGAGTTGGCATAAATTCAATGTGAAAATTATTGGAACATAATTCAGCACCTGTAACCTATCCAGTGACTTCTGCGGGATTGCATTGCTTCAAGTCAGTAGCAAACAAGTCATTTAAGAACAAGAGCCTCTTAAAACAAAATCAGTCACAATAACATATAACCATATGCTACACCATTTGGTCTTTCTGCTTATCATCTCTCTTATGAAGGAATCTTCATCTTGTATGGATTTATAAAATGCATTAACTTTCTATTCCTTTTCTCTAAAATAGCAGTGAAATGAGCAATCCAAGTCAGTCTCCATTACAGCAATAAAAACATGCCTGTTAACCACAGGGAGAGCTGGACTCTGTTCTGAATGACTATATGAGTGATCAAAAGATATGTATTATAGGAATGTACAGTTGTGCTGTGGGAAATTTTGCTTTCATTCTCTTCAAAGGCTTCAGGCATCTCAGGAAAACTTAAGAAAAATCATAACAGTAAGTCTTATGATCACACATGAGTTTATCAAAGCCCTCATCATCTGATACTGATTTCCACTGCATGTAAATAAATGCATGAATAATTAATTTAATTCATCTTTATTATGAAACAATCCTGGGTTTTTTTCCTCCTTACTTGGCATAGTAGGAGTAGCTTCAGTCTGTGTTTCCTCCTGCAGCCCATGGCTCATACTTGTGAATTCACATCAGTGGATGTTCTCTGGGCTTGATGACCTAGCAAGGAACAGGTCCTGTTGTGCTAGATGGGTCCTACCCTGGGAGCTGTACAGCTCCGAGCCCTTGTCAGTGAGCAGGCCAAGGGAATCAGTGCAAAGGAACTGCAAGCAGTGAATTAGTGTGGTGGGGGGAAAATATCACATTTACTTATTTTCAAAATGTGTGGAATTCTGTTAATGATGGTTGTTGAGATTACAACAAAGCAGATTGAGGCTGATAAAACCAGAGAAAAGGCAGAGATAATGAACTGAGAAGGAAGGAATTTCAAGGGAACAGGAGGGTTGGAGAGGGTCAGTAGGGACTGGACCAGGCAGACAATGGCCAGGGTGAAAATTCTCTGCCATTGTCTCTGCTGTGGGTCCCAGTGGGGTGGCAACTTCTCCAACTCATCTTGGCTTTGGTCTGCCTTGAGTGATGCCTTGCAAGCATTATTTGTGCTCCCTGAGCCCAGCTGGCTTGGGTAGTAGTAGTTCTTTCCCTGCCCATGTGCTCCTAGAGGGAATCAGTTGTTCCTGAATGGGAGGAACTGTGGTTTCACCTTACTTGCTTCTGCCCCAGCTTATGAGGACTCCTGACTGTGAGAGGAATGTAGTCTTGGGCTCTCTGAGTTACCCCACGTTATCTGCAAAATTGCTCTGAAACAACACATCCTTGTGATGAACAAGGGCTCAAAAGCAGAAGCAAACTCCAAAGTGTTCCCGAACACAAATAACAGCAAGCAAAGGATTCATAACTCAGTAGTAACTCATCATCAGAGCAGTGGGATAGAGAACAGGGGAAGCACTGCCATGGGGTTACAGTAGGGATTTTCCTGCTTGGACTCTGCTAGTTTCAGAGGAAAATGGATGCATACTGTTGCTGAGGAAACGAGTCTCCCAGGGGAAGGTTGGCTTTTCCCTGGTGTGAATTTTTGCTGCCTCATGATCACTTGAGTCAATTAACCCAAAACGTACAAACTGCACATGCCATGGCTCTGTACAGTTATTATATTTTGAATATATATGAATTTTATACAGTTGCATGTGGATTTAATCATAAACAGCCCAGGAACAGATTCAAGTTTATATTCTTCTTTAAATATTTGTATTCCTGTAATGGAACTTTGCCCATTTCTATCTGTAGGTGCCAGCTTGCATAATGACATCAGTAAATACTTCTGGTTTCATCATTCTCAAGGGGACATGATGACAGTTCAGGATCCAAACCAGATGAATCTCTGTGCTGCTGTTTGGACTGTTGTCTCCTATGTAATTGCTGACATGGAGGAGATGTTGCCAAGGTAATAAAACAGCAAGAAAGAAGATTTCTGTTCTTCAATAAAGATTGTAAGTCCACTAATGCATGTGGACTACAGCTATGCTAAATTCTGCTTTTAACCTTGATTTTGTGCTTCATTATTGTATCTGTTTTCCTCGAAGTACATGCTTTTTTACATATACCTGTTTCTTTTTGCTGTTTTGATCTCTTCCATTTGTGATTTTCGCTTAAAATGTATTCTTTTAAGTCCTTCTTAAATTTCAAATGGAAGTAGGATACCTCTTTGACAATGATATAATAAACATTTGTATGCACAGTGATCCCATGCAGCAGGAAAAGTGCACCAAATAAATTTGTTTCATCAGAATAATTAATGTATTGAGTTACTGTACACGTTTACTTGTTTTGTTTCTGTCTTTCATTCTGTGCATTGGAATGAAGTACTATTAACCAATCAGCCCTTTCTTTTTACTGTTTTAAGGTAATACTGTAGTTTCTAGAAGTTTTCAGGTTATAGGACAAATTAATCTTGTCTGTTTTAATGGTAATATGTGGTAGAGTGGTCAAATAGTAGTCAAAGTGCTAAAATAATTGGGCTTTTAATGGTTTCATTCAGCTCTGCTGTTAAATGTTACTAAAGGTTCATGTAAGACTCAGATAAACCAGGACACAGAGGATAGGAAGCCAACCAGAGGACTCTTATTTCTCCCATCTTTTTTTGTCCACCTCCCTATGGAAAGCCACGTGTGTCCTTTTCCATCCCATGGCAGACTCGCCATAGTGACAAGCAGAGAATTTCATATGGCACTTTTTCTCTGAAATGCCATGATGTTTCAGAAGCAGCATCACAGCTGTGATTTGTGACCTTCAATACCTGCCAGCTGATATCCAACAAAGTGTAAGAGCAGATTTTGGTTCAGAGTCCTGAAGCCCTTCCCAGCTGCCCCTCCCTTGTGGGGATGGCCTTTCTGGCTGGAAGCTGGGTGAGAGGATGCTCGTGCATATGCATTTTGATGAAGGAATTCATCTGGGAATTTGATTCTTATATACTTTGTTGATTTAGGGGTTTTGTTTGTTTGTTTGTTTGTTTGTTTGTTTGTTTGTTTTTTCCTACTGAGATTATGAATATTCAGGTGAGTTTTAGGTATATCTGTAGAGAAGATATAACTGATCTTGGGGAATATTTTAAGATGTATGATTTCTGCTCATTTCTTTGTGACACGATCCTTACTTGTGCTTTTAAATTTTACAACAAGCAGACTCACTGATGTGAATAACTGCTGCAATATAATCAACACCAAACAACTAACGTAACAAACAACGTGGTGTATTAAACCAAATGGCAGGCAGTCCCTGGTGCTGTTAATCAGTTCTGCTGTTGAGCAATAGCTGAGTGATGAGCAATTCATTGCTATAGAATTCATAATCATGATATCTGTTTACCACAATAATAGCTGTTTTCCATCAAATTTATAAACTATTTCAGTTTTCCTTCCAAATAATTTCAGGAGCATAAAAGATGGCTGGAGATATGCTGCTCTATCTTTTTTAAAGAAACAATATTGAAATAAATAAAGTTAGCAAAGACTTCCTCTGCCTTCCAGGCATGATGCCTACGCTTTTTTTTCTGACTTGCTTGACAAGAGCATAGTTGGTGGTACTCATCATGGACAGATCCTCAGCTGTCTCCAAATCCAACCTTTTGACCTTCACAGAATATTACTGACTGTTTCCTGAACTGCGTTTCTTATTGTTTTCCCTCAAGGTATGTGACTTTGTGCATCAGAGATTCAGAAGGGTATTCCATGAAGTTACCTATATTGTTCCAAATCTTAACCTATGCTCGCTTGGAAATGGTGTTAATTTGTGTTTTTCTCCATTGCCTCAAGTTAAACGGAGAATCTCTGTAGTCAAGAATACTCCTCTGCAGAGGAGAAGAGTGCAAGGGTGCACATGGCACCATAGCACATCCCAAGGTGTGCTGTTGGCTCCTAAGTAAGAAAATTAACTGTACCCCAGCCAAAAGCAGCACAACTGTGTAAGACAGACCAAAAAAATTAAGACCACGGTGCCCCTGAAGAAAATATAAACCTTTGCATTAGCTTCAGATACACAGTTCTAGAGAGAAGCTTTGCAGAGAGGTTTTAGAAAAAAATGTTCAAAAATCAAAATTGCCATCTTATTTTTATATAAATAGTGAAATTGAAAATATTTTGGTTCTTAAAATTGAAAAACAATTATTTTTTTACATGTAAAACCAGATTTCATTAAAATAAAACACCATCTCATCGATTTACCTTTTTTTCTTTCTGATCGGTATTAGTTCTCAAACCTAAAAGTTCATCTGTTCATAGTGCTCTCCTGATAATCTGCCCGTTCAGATGTCTCTCAAAAATTTCCATAAACACAGACATGCTAGTAAATTTTTTTTCTTTCCTAGCGGGATTTTGTACTGTCTGTGCAAGAACTTATCTTTACCTCTGCTCAGTGTAGCAATTATGCTGTTTCAATTGGTATCCATTAAACATGTATTGATCGGTCAATTTGCAATTGACGTGCCATTATCTTTGAGAATCTTTCTCAACTTTAATTGACAAAGGAATAGCTGAGGATATTATTTATATTACTATTATTGTGAGGGTCACCTGACATAAATCTTTTCATAAGTGCTTTTCATAAGTAATTTGACAACATTCTAAGTCAAAGGGATCACGTATGCATTTCCCTCAAATAAACATTTGCTTTTTTGCCTGCAAAGATCTGTGAGCTGAGAGCTGAAAAAACAGCAGTAGTTTTTAAATATATGTCACGAATTTAAATTTCAAATAATCATTTTCCTCAAGGTATTACAAATCTCTTGCATCTGCTGCGAAGGGAGGCCCCTGGGTAACCTTCCTTTCAGCTACAACTCAAAGGTTTGAGACATAGCTACAAAGGGAAGAGGCCAATACATAATTCATTTACCTGACTAGACTATAGCACAAATGCTGATGAAAAGTCTGTTTTCAATATTGCATAATATAATGTAAGTAATTTGCCAGTAATAAAAGAAGAATTGCAGGATAGGTGCTTTTGTCCTTCATTGTGCCAAGACATTATTGAAGTTTCACTGTCTCTGAATGATTCAGTTCTATGTGTTCTCACAAGATTTTTAGCTCCCTTAAAATAATTAAAAACAAAGGAGTTGAAGCAGTGCTGCTGCTTTTGCTCTGCAAACATCCTTGGCTGTGTGTATTTAGTTAGTATGCTTCCCCCATAACCGTTTGAGACACTTCCATTTACCATAAGTAAATATCAAACTGATCTTGATATCTATATCTGTCTCATGAAATATACATACCATCTAAATGTGCCCAAATGATTAATTTACTGCTGTGTAATGATTAGCATAAAAATCTCATCACTGCACAGGATAAAAATGTTGCCACTAATTGCTGGTTGGAGTGAACAATGTTTTCTGCATAGAAGTTAATGATGCATGCATCACAACTCTTGAATTGGAAAGCTCAAGACGTTCTGGAAGAGAAGCTTTTTTTCCCCTTCTTTCCTACTAAATGATAGGAGACCCTGATAAGAGAAAGGAACGTTTTAACTGACACTCCATGTAATCTTCTGTCTACTGCAAATGCATGGAAGCACTGTCCATCTGAACACTGTAGTCTTCCATGGTCTTTACTTCTGGAAACTCTAGCCTTTTTGCACAAAGGTATGACCAGCTATGGGCCTGGGATTTGTAGTTACAGGTGTTTGGTAAGTACATTGTGCCAGCACCCGATTAAGGTTTTTAGATGCCTCTCTTCTTAATAATCATGTTTGCCCCTGGAGGAGGGCCCTCGAAGACAGTCCTATATCCAACTCTCTGCTTAGCTTGCAGTTTGTTTTCATTTCAGGACAGATCAACTTGCTTTAGTTTATGTTAAGTTTATGTTTTCCAGGGTTTTTTTGATCTTTCACTCTCTTTCCCAGCACCTGTACCATGACTTGAATGTTAGGAATGACTAACCAACTGAAAAAAATCTTTCCCAGCACCTGTACTGTGACTTGAATGTTAGGAATGACTAACCAACTGAAAAAAAACTATGTATTTTGTGTCTTCGGGCTCAGGAACTGCAAGATGCAATTGAGATGACTCTGAAGAGCAATGCATAAGCACATGGGAGAGAGCTCCATCAGGGCCACTACTTGCCATTATCACTGACTTATGTTACTGGCACACAGGACTTTGTGACCAATGCAATGGGTTTTCATCACCGGTCATGGTTTTCTATACAACTATGTGAAAATCAGGCTTATGGAAACCAAAGAGGGAAGTTCTGGAGAAGGGATCACAAAAATCCACAAAAAGAGCAAGGTAGTACTGAGGCAGGGACTTAGCTTCAAATACCAATGTTTTACTCTGCTTTGCTGTGCAAGTTGGGGAACACTACTTAAACCTACCTCAGTTTCACTGTTAAATGGTGGTGGTGGTGTTTGGTGCTCATGTTTGGTGTAACCTGATTTAACAACACTGTTAAAATATGTGATGCATGTAAAATATGAGTTCATTTCAGAGGTTCGGTTCAGTTGGAGGAGAGGAATAAGAAGTTAGCGCCTTCTAGCTACATGAGAATTCATCTGTAGAATGTGTATTTAGTATTTACTCTTTGCATTTACAATATTTGCATTATTCACATTTGCATTATTTGCATTTTCTGTTTGTCATGAAAAACAACAATAAATATTCCTCCTTCAGATACTGCCATTTTAAAATAGAATTTGGACATTAGCCATATAAATTTTAATGTAATGGGACTTTGCATCCAGGAATGATGCGGGGCGATTATGCCATCTAGATACATCAGACAATGCCATCTAGATACATCATTTCATAACTTTGGACCATCACACACATGCTCAGTCTCTTTCACAGAATCAGTGGCCATGCAGTGGGGCAGTATGAAGAAAGAGAATAGGTGAAATGGTTTCCCAACAGCCATGCAGTCAGTCCTGAAGTTAAGTTTAGTACCTACCTCAGCCAAACTGTGCTGCCCATAAATGAGTCACTACTTCCTTTTTATACCACTGAGATAATTTTGAAACTGAAGTGTAAAATTTTGTGCAAAAATGACATTTTTGACTGAGCATATGCAACATATGCAGACTGAACCTTTGGGAAAGACTTTGAAAGTGTGATTTCACTGAGATTCTTTGTGACTCTTTGGAATACTTCGGCTTCACTTTTGTGAACATGATTATTCAATATGTTACTTATCCTGAATTGTCTATATATTTTGCTTTTTCCAGAGATGATATGTCAGTGATACATCTACAGAGACTTAATAACATTGCCTGTACTTAAAAGCAAATTTCCTAGTTCTTTACACTTAATCATTTTTTAT